GGAGTTCGACGGGATGAAGGTTGATGCCCAGGTAGACACTGATGCCAGGTGTTTTAGCCAGGACAACTTCACTGGTGAATGTACGTATATCAGACTGGAAAAACAAAGAGACATAATGTTATTAGGAGACATGGCACTATTATATTTAAGGACCCAGGTGAGGTAGATAGGAAGGTGACTTTGATTTTGAGATGGTATTTTATCAGGGTGACATTGAGGTAGGAGCATCATCATGGTGAGGTAGAATTCTGAAAAATAAGTGTGAGGTTATTGAAATTATGAGAGGTGATTACTCCCCCATCTGAAAGCATAAAAGTTAGGAGGGTAGGTGTGTAAAACTTGTTTCTGGTCTAGGAGTTGAGCCGGATAAAATAGGGGGAGTATGGGAGACGGTGGCTGTACCAATATAGGGAAGGTGAGAGCTTAGGCTTTCAGGGATGTCACGTTTAACCAGACAGCTGAGGGTGGAAAGAACCATGACAGTTATCACATAGAACATAATAAAGATGATCTTACGCATGATGTGGGAGTCTCTAGGAAAGACTGTCAAGAGTCCTGCTGCAAAAATGATCATTAATAGAGCGTAAGAAATTAGGAACCAAATCGGATAACAAAACATGACTTAGCCTGTTAACTGCGGCTGTGAGGCCTTTGTGAAACGGAGACGGGTGGGTGACAGAAGATGAGATGACTGCCTCACAATGCGTCACAAAGCCATTCCCCCCTCTTCCTCCTTCTTTGGTTGACCCCACGGTCTGGGACACATCCAATCCCGCTCTGGCTACACATGCCACGCCTGTTTTAATCCGTCTCAAGGATCCCTCAATTTTTCCCTGCGTTCCCCAATGCCCCATAGCCCCCCAACATTTAAGGGGGCTTAAACCCATCATTAAGCGGCTTTTAGACAATGGATTTTTTAAACCTACCCATTCACCCCACAATACTCCCATTCTCCCGGTGCTCAAGGCTGATGGGTCCTATCGCCTGGTACAGGACCTTAGGGTGATCAACAGTGCCGTTACCCCAACTTACCCAGTGGTGCCAAATCCTTATACCATGCTCTCTCATATCCCTTCCTCCACTACTCACTTTACAGTTATAGATCTTAAAGATGCCTTCTTCACTATCCCCCTACACCCTGATTGCCAGAACCTCTTTGCGTTTACATGGACTGACCCAGACACCCTCAGGTCTCAACAACTTACTTGGACAGTACTCCCCCAGGGGTTCAGGGATAATCCCCACTTCTTTAGTCAGGCTCTTGCTACTGACCTCACAGAACTCAATCTCAAACCTAGTGTTCTGCTCTAATACATAGACGACCTCCTATTATGCTCTCCATCCCATATGTTAGCCATACGCCACTCAGCCAGTCTTCTTAATTTCCTTGCTAGCCGTGGATACAGGGTGTCTCCCACCAAAGCCCAGATAGCCTCCCCAAAAGTCAAATACCTAGGTCTTGCTCTCACCCCCACCACTCGCTCCATCACCTCAGATCGTAAGGCAATTCTTCATGATCTCCAGGTGCCCACAACTAAACGGCAGGTTACATCTTTCCTGGGTTTAGCTAATTTCTTTGTCTTTGGATTCCTAATTTTGCAGCCCTAGCTCAACCTCTCTACAAGGCTGCTAAGGGTTCCTTATCAGAACCCCTGGACCCTACTAGGCCCATACATGCCTCCTTTCAAAAACTAAAAGAGGCCTTTATTCCGGGAACACGGGGAGAGGAGACTGTTGTACTGGCCACTGGAATCTGGCGATCTCTCTCTCGGACACGTGGCGTGGGGGAATATAAGTAGCCTAAGCTTAGGGCAGTGCCCTAAGGCCATTAGAGATGCACAGGTATTTCATTGGCAAACGTTTAGCGCCAGAAAGCAGGTTCCTAGGGAGGGGGTTAGGGTTACAGTTAAATCTATATAGGGTGCCGGGGAGTCAGGAGGCCCCTAACTTGGCCACAGCTTTTCCTGGTTAAAGTGTCCGGTTTGGGCCAGCAACTCTTTCAATAGGTTCTTAACATCATAGCTTTTGTGACTTCTCTCTACTTGTATTTCTCATGCGTTTTTGCCTCTTCCAGTACATTCAGATGTGTTTGAAACAAGTGCTCAAATTTGTCCTTAGTTTTTGATTCCAAATTATAGACCATGTCATGACTAGTTTTGTAAATTTGTGTATGGTATAACTAAAGGATGACTAGAGTGTTATCCAAACACATAGCAAAATGCATCTGTAAAGGAATGTGGGGGGATCAAAATCAGGGCCCTTGTTAAAATACCGAGCATTTCTGGAGATGAGACTGCCAGCTTCCCTATCGACTTATGCTGTCACCTGGGCATGGGAGCACCTACCTGTACTACTGGCAGTCTGGAAGCTTGAGGCAGGAGAACTGCAAGTTGGAGTTTAGCCTGGCCAGTTCATCAACTTAGTAAGGCCAAGTCTCAAAAAAAAATTAAAAAGGCTGGAGATACAGCTCGGTGTGAAAGACCGTAGCATTGCAGAATCTGTTTGATTGCTTGGTTTTTATAGCTAGGGTCTCACTGTAGTTCACACTGACCTTGAATTCATTCTGTAATCCAGGCCGGCTTCTAACAGTGATCTGTTTGGCTCACCCTCCTGAATGCTAGGAGTATAGGTGTATACCACCAAACCCAGTCACTAATATTTTTGGCTGGTAGCTCAGTGGAAATGCTCTAGGTTCATTCTCCAGTACCAAAGACAAAGAGCTTTGCTGTTTTGGCAGCAACCATGTAAATAAGAACAAAAAGTGGCGTTTAATGGGTAAGGACTTTTCACAACTGAACCACAACAAACATGTGAGTTATAGGATAAAACCACACTTGGGGCACATCATGGTAAAACTTGAAAGCCAAATACAAACCCCAAGTGGTGTTTTTTTTGTTTGTTTTTTGGGGCTGAGGATTGAAACCAGAGTCTTGTACATCCTAAGTGGATTCTCTACTGCCAAGCTACATCCAGAAACCTCCAAATGTTTTAATTGAAAAAATAATTTGGAGAATTTATTTATGGTACTTAAGATTGAACCTGGGGCCTTTGCACTGAGCTACATTCCCATACCTTTTTTTAAATTATTATTATTATTTATTTATTTATTTTGGTACCAGGGATCAAACTCTTCTTGTGTTTGTAAGCAGCAGGCACTTATGCCACTGAGCTAAATCCCCAGCCCCTTGGAATTTTTTTATTTGAAGAAAAAGGTCACTCTTAGCCCGGGCTGGTTCCAAACTTCTAATCCTCCTACCTGAGCTTCCCAAATAGTGGAGTCACAAGCATGAGCCACCACACCTGACGCTAAATTTCAAATAAATATGAAATCCATCCTCTATGCCTTTTGGATTACATAATGGTTAATTCTATGTGCTGATTTGACTGGGCTACAGAGAACCCAGATAATTCAGTCTAACAATATTCTGAGTGACTATGAGGACTACCTCCCTCCGTGCATCTTGCTGAATCACCCCAGCTGGACTCCAATTTCCAGGCCTGCCTGAGCCTCCCAGTGTGATATGTGTCACTGTGTCTCCCTGTAAGAATGAGATTAATGGGGCTGGGGATTTAGCTCAGCGGCATAAGCGCCTGCCTTGCAAGCAGGCAGTCGTGAGTTCGATCCCCGGTACCGATAAAAAGGAAAAAGACAAAAAAAAAAAAAAAAATGAGATTAACATGTGAATCAGGACATTGAGTGAAACAGATGGGTCTCTTCCTCCCTATCTCCCCCTCGATTCACCATTGAACTCAAGACATATGCACTGAGCTACATCCCCAATCTCATTTTGCCTTTTTTTAGTTTTTAATTTTGAGACAAGTTCTCAGGAAATCGGTAAGTTTGGGGTCCTCTTGTTTTAGCCTCCCAGCATACTGGAATTATAGACATAACTGCACCCAGCTCAGATAACTCCAAAGCAGCCATTCTCATGTAATAGTTGAAGGCACGTCTAGAAACAAAGGTTGACCCTTAAGAGTGAACTTTTACCTCAGCGCTTGGACTGGGTGGAACATTAGCTTTGTCTGGCCTTCAGACTCCAGCTGAAAAGTCAACTCTTCTAACCTGCTGGCTTTGGCACCGGAAGTACATCCTTGGCTATACTGGCTCTTAATGCATTCAGACTCCAGCAGGAACTACATGTGGCTCTCCTTGGTCTTCAGCTTGACCGCTGCAAATATTGACGCTTCTCAGCATTCCTTGTTGCATAAACCAATGCATTATGATCTGGGTCCCACCGACTTTCTCTTTGTGAAGAAATCTAGCTAATACAGATCAAATTCTTTGCCATCCCTTCATTAGTTGAGCAGCTAAGGGAACATTGTATCTATTACAATTTTTTGGTCTTTTTGAGACAGTCTCTCTGTGCAGTTCAGGTTGGCCTTGAACTCACTTTGTAGCCCAGGCTGACCTTGGGCTCACAGCAATCCCCTTGCCTCAGCCCTCTGAGTGCTGGGATTGTGCCACCACCCATGGCTGCTATCATTAATCTTCATGAATTTAGGTGGTTTTCCTTTGTATTTTAATCCCTGATCCTTACCTATTAAAAATAAGAATGAAAATATAGTTCACATTAGAATGATAATCAGATAAATGGAATCAAGGTTTGTGAAAAAATACCCCAGTGAATGTGTTAAAGATATCTTGCAGCACGTTATGCTTCATATGCTGTAAGGGTAACACCCAGAGGGCCAAGTGCCTATGTGTCAGAATCAAAGCTGTATTAATCATTGTCCCTCTGAAGACAGGAACACAAAATTTCTCTGTCTCCTCCCACTTGCAGTTAGGTGGAGCCATATACTTGTTTGACCAATAGCACTTGAACAGGAGTAACATAAACCACTTCCAGACCTGGTGTTTAACAGCACTGAGGGCCAGCTTTCTTCTGCTGTGGTGACGGTGTAGGCCTTATCTTATTCTGGGTAGTTTAGGCAGGCGTTAGAAACCTGAAGATCAGTCCACACAAGGACATCGTGTGAACAAGAAGTATTCTTTTGTGTTAAGCCATTAAAATTTGTGGGTTTCATACAGCCTTAGCTAATGACCACTATGTTAAGTACACACCAGGGATAATGCTATGTTAACTGCTACTTTATGTAAGCTTTGTAAATATTCATACTTTTTGCCATAAAGAAAGGTTTAAAAAGAAGTTTATTTAGTGCCGTGATGACACTAATACATTTAGCAATCAACAACATGGGTACAAAAAAAGAGTCTGCATGGAAACCCTTTGCTGGAATGCTTTACACTTTCCACAGAGAAGAAACTAAAATAACCTGTTCTGCAGTTAGTCACATCCTGAGTGTCCTGTCCATACACATGAGCCTCATCTACAACATGTCTTCTTAGCAGTGAGGCCCTGCCACCACTGTGCCTGGCCAAGCTCAGCTGTCTGTTGTAAGCTGTGGCTTCTCTGTCACTTGTCTGGCTCTGCTGCTTTGCTGAACTTTTTTTCCCAGCAGGACTTAAAAGCTTCTGCCTCTGCCTCTGCCATAGCTTCCATTACTGCTGGAGCCACGGTTGCCACCTTGATTTCGTGGCTTGGCAAAGTATTGGTCTCCACCCCCATATAGCCCAGAGCTTCTGCCTCCAGACTTTCCTCCTTTCATGGGCCCATAATGTAAACACTGATTATGGTAATTGCCAAAATCAATGTAGCTTCCGCCCACTTGAAAATTGCTTCCATTACCAATTTCAGTGTACTGATTCCCAGTGCCACCAAAGCCACGTGGAACATTGAAGTTTCCTCCTCGACCACAATTGCCATAGCCACCAAAACCACCTCGACGACCACCACCAAAATTTCCAGCACCATGTGGACCTCTTTGGCTAGATGAAGCATTAGCCATCTTCTGCCTGGACAGGGCTTTATTCACCTCACACCTGTAGCCTTGACAGTCTGGTATCTGTGAATCACAGCCTTGTCTGCAGAATCATAGTCAACAAAGGTTACAAAAGCGAAGCCCCTTTTCTTTCCAGTGTTTCGGTCAGTCATGATTTCAATAACTTCGATTTCTCTATATTGTTCAAAATGATCTCGTAGGTGATGTTCATCAGTATCTTTAATGCCACCGACAAAGATCTTCACAGTGAGGTAGGCACCCGGTCTTTGGGAGTCTTCCCTGGATACAGCTCTCTTGGTTAGCACCACTCTGCCATCTACCTGGTGTGGCCTGGCCTTCATGGCTGCCTCCACCTCCTCCACGCTGGCATAAGTGACGAACCCAAAGCCCCTGGAGCGCTTGGTGTTCGGATTTCTCATTACCATACAGTCGGTGAGTGTTCCCCACTGCTCAAAGTGGCTCCTGAGACTAGGTGGTGGCTCAGCCCTCTGATGAAGAGCTTGCAGCGCTGCTCTTCAGTCTCCTTGGGAGATGCCGACTTGGACAAGAAGGCAGCCCTTTAATAGGAAAAATGTGTGATGCGGCTTTAGTGCTCATGGTTGACCAGATGTGGAGGAAGCTGTGGTGTGCTTCTCTCCTAGTGAAACATACAGAAATCCTGGCCTAGAATGTGGCAAACTCCCCTTGCAGAAATCCCACTGGGCACCCAACTGAGGAGCATTCCAGCTCATTCCCCATGCCACGTGGTCTTAGTACCATCTTCACCCTCCCCTGCCCTTCATGCTCCTCACTGTGAGTGGGGCACTAACATCCCCGGGGAGCCTGAAATCCTAAAAGAACCAACTCTCCCCTGCCATTACTCACTGCAGAAACAATATTGCTGCCCTTTGGCATTTCAGGAATATACAGCAGTGGATACCAAGAATTTACTTAGGAAATACGACATAAAAAAGAGGCCTTCAAATTGCAGTTAAAGTGACAAGCCAAGACAACACACTGTATTGAAATTTTTCCTCAAACTCAGAGCCCTATTCCTGCCTCAGCCTCCCCAGTGCTGGGATTACAGGCGCTCATCACCACACCCAGGTTCCCCTCTTTAGATTCTTCTGTGAGTACCTTAGGCCATTCCAGATAACCCAGGCTGTTATCTCTATTTTACTTGTTTGTTTTTGGTGCTGGGGATTGAACTGAGGATAGCAGGCTTGCTGGCAGGGGCTTATGCCACTGAGCTAAATCTCCGGCACGTTACTTCTATTTTAAAATCAGTAGATTTTGCAACCTTAATTCCTCCTGGCATGAGTGTTGCACTTTGCCAGTTAACACAGGTAAGAGACAAGTTCCTCAGTACTGGAATGTGGAGGTCATCTGGAGCTGCTGCACCCTGTACCACAGTGACCCCACATAAAGATGATGAGTCAGCTCTTTCATAGGGTCTTCCTGATCTGTCTCTAAAATCTAACCTGTATTTTATCCATACAGCCACATGTTGGCTCACATTTCAAGGGAAGGGTGGTCCCACTATGGGATAGAATAGTAATAATTATGAGCATTTTGTGAACTGTGTTGCCCAGAATTACATATATATATATATATATATATATATATATATATATATACATTTTTTTTGTATTTTTCTTTTTTATCGGTACCGGGGATTGAACTCACGACTGCCTGCTTGCAAGGCAGGCACTTATGCTGCTGAGCTAAACCCTCAGCCCCCCAGAATTATATTTTAATTACAGGCTGGTCTCAAACTCACAAGGATCCTCCTGCCTCAGCCTCCAGAGCGCTGGGAATACAGGCGTGTGCCCCCATGCCCAGCCGATCCCAGGCATTTAATTTAAATAAAATTTTGTCCTTTGATCAACTGGTCACAAGATGAACACCTACTGGCCACAGTAACAAGAAGATGCCGCGCTGGACAGCACATGTAAAAGACAGCAGCAGCGGTTCATGCCAAAAGTGTGGTGACCACGTGCTCCTCTTGGTCGTCCTATTTTTTGTTTTGTTGAATATGAAATCATTCCAAGAGCATCTTAATTTGAGCAGCGTGACCTAGTAGTGCTGTCAAGATGAGAAGATTCAAAGCATGCACTTAAGTAATTTAATTGACTTTCCATAAAAATTTAATTGTGAACCCACTAAAAGTGGAGAGCAGTGTTTCTAACAAGCTTTAGTCTCCAAAACACTTCAGAGACGCATCTGCACTGCCACTGTTTTCTCCAGGACAGCAGGAAACGGGAAGAACACACACACCGACACTCGCAGGTTTGCTTTGCCCATGTCTAGAGAGCTGCTCAGCTCAGTAGACCGAGGACAGCCATCGAAGGCTCACTTTCAAAGTGTCAGTGACTCTTCCAACCCTAGTCGCACTTCTGCTAATTATCTTTCTTTTTTCAGTACTGGGGATTGAACCCCCAGCCCCACCTGTGAGGGCAAGCACTCCACCACTGAGCTACATTCCTCACGCTGGCTGTGGTGCTAAAGGGCACCAAGCCAAAGTAAGGGAGGGAGTGGAGTAAAGTTTCAGTTCTGAGTGAGCTTGGTGGCACACGCCTGTAACTCCAGCGCCCAGGAAGCTGAGGCAGGAGGATCCTGTCTCACTCTAAGCTGGCCTTGACTACATACTGACATCTGAGGTAAAGGACAGCCTGAACCACACAGCAACACCCTACTTCCAAAAACAGCAACAGCAAAAATGAAAGGAAGAAAGTAACTGGAAAGGGAGATATCACTACAGAAAACAAGAAGTAGAATCCCAGCGTGGGGTGGCTGTCTCCCAGCTGCAGCCCTGGGGAGGCTGAGACAGGAGGACGGTGCCACTCTGCATCCCATCTGTATGCATCACTGTTTGCTGAGAAGACCTGATGCGAGACATACAAATGTATAAGGAGAACTCACCAGGGTGGCTCACAGGGCCGCCTGCAGCGCTGGTGTGGAGCAGCACAGGTCCGTCTGGGACTGGAGGTGGAGGTGGAGGCCCCAGTGGAATCCTGGAGGGAGTCGGTACCAGGAGAGGAAGGGGCTGTGCTGGAAGCCAGGCAGGGACTCCAAGGAGAGGGAGGGGACTGCAGCTGTCCTGGAGCAGACACTGCCTTCCTTCCTTCTTAGTTTCCCTTTTATAGCAGCCTGGGCATTGCACCCTAGGGTGGGTCCTCCCACCCACAGCTCGCTGAGCCAATTGCTTGGGTCTTTCTCACTCAAGTTGACCCCATGAGTCAGCTGTTGCACACTTGGATTTTCAAGCTGCTGTCTCAAACTTTTAAGAAGGAAAAGAGTCTGGGATGTGGCCCAGGCTAGGGCCATGGGTATAACTCTAGTACATGGCAGACACAAGATGGAGTGAAGGAGTGAATTTCCATGAGCTCCCGGGAGTGGTAGTTGTTACAGCGTGGAGCTGAAAATGAGTCTGACTGCTGTATGGAATTACTGACAGAGTGGGCCTCGGTTTATGATCTTAAATTGTTTTACGACTTTGGGAAGATGGCCGTGTTTGTGTGTGTGTTCAGGAGATGGCCGAGGTCATGGTAGTTACCTGATGAGGAGTTTGCCAACTGGTTTATTCACAAATAGAATTGTTCATGAATCAGACACTGGTATATTTTGGTTATATTGGTTTAAATAAAGTATATTGTTGTTTTACCTGTTTTTTTTTTTTTTTTTCGTGACAGGATCTTGCTGGCTGTGTAGTTCAGCTTGGCCTCGAACTTACTGTGCAGTTTGGCCTTGCTCACAGTAATCCTTCTGCCCCAGCCTCTAGTGTGCTGAGATTACAGGTGTGTGCCACCAGGCCGGGCTTTCTTTTTACTTTTTAAAGTAGCTTCTAGAAAATTGTAGCTAACCATGGTGTCCCATGCCCGTGATCCCAGCACTGAGGAGATTGAGGCAGGAGGATCGCCAAGAGTTGAAGACCAATTCAAACTACACAGCAGAATCATATCTCAAAAAAAAAAAAAAAAAAAAAACAAAATAAAAAACGTATGAGGTTCACTCTATTGCTTTTGTACAATGCTTATTTAGAATGCTATGGCATGATCATTTTATGTGTTGTAGCAAAGGCAAAATTAGTTTTTGGATGGGCATGCTGGTCTATGCTTGTAACTGCAGGATTTGGGGAGACTGAGGAAGGAGATATAAGTTTGAGTACAACCCAGAGATGTCAGTGTCTGAATTGGTTTCTTTTTTCTCATTGCTGAGACCAAATACTTGATACCCAAAATAAGGGAAGGAAAGGTTTATTTAGCTTACAGTTTTTGGAGGTTTTAGTCTACCCAGCTGGCTCCAAGGCAGGATGTTATGGCTAACGGGTAGCTGTCATGGCAGCTCCAAGTGACAAGACTGAAAAGGGCTAAAAAGGGTGAGAGCACGGCTTCTTCCCTCTCATATTGTGGGCTGGCTCCCCGCCCCCGGTGGGTTTACACTCACACTGCCAATCTAGCAATGAACCAGTCACAACCACTAGACTCAGCCACCTCCATGGCTGTGTGATGCTTTGGGGAAACATTTAAACATAAAGCATAAGAGTGGTTTAGGAAGACTCTGTGTCTAAATAAAAATATTAAAAAGGGCGGTGAGAGGTAGGGATGTAGCTCAATTAAAGGCCTTGGCTTCAATGCTCAGTGCCACCCAAAGAAGCAAACAAATAAAAATTCTCTTTTAGAAGGCACACGGGATATCCTCAGTCCTTGTTGGCTTATTTTCAGAGTGATACTGGAAGAAAGGGGTTTCCTTTTTTTTTTTTTTTTTTGAGATAGAGTCTCACTGTGTAGCCCAGGTGGCCTGGAACTGGGCAGCCCTCCAGCCTCTGCCTCCTGATTGCTGCAATCACAGTCCTAGGATACCAGACCTTGCAGGAGGCTGATTTTCTTTTTTTTTTTGTCTTTTTCTTTTTCATCGGTACTGGGGATTGAACTCACGACTGCCTGCTTGCAAGGCAGGTGCTTATGCCGCTGAGCTAAATCCCCAGCCCCCCGGAGGCTGATTTTCTACTTAGTTATTTGGTCTCGTGCTCCTGAGCTTTCGTAAAAGCCTATCAGTCTTGTCTCCACTCTGTTGAGATTCATTCATTTATTTATGAATGATACGGGGACTCACTGTGGAGTTAGACTGACCTTGAACTGTCTGTGTAGCACAGGTTGGCTCTGAATTTGCAGCGACATTCCTGCCGCAGCCCCTAGATGCTGGGATTGCAGGCATGAGCCACCACACCCAGCTCTACTGAGATTTAAAGCGTATGATTCAGCACTTAACAGACAGCATGAAAGGTACATTCTCCATATCATCTGGAAATACGACCTCAGAGTCATGGTTGTTTAGTACTTAGCACTTTGAACAAAGTCACATTTCATCTTCATTTACAGAAGCGATTATTATTGAGACTCGGAAGGCCTGGTTGAGAACTATAGGCAGACTTTTGCACAAAACCATGCCTCGAGGTTCTGTGGGGAGGTGGCTGGACAGATGCCAAGTGCTCCTCTTTCCTCAGCCTTCTCGGCAGGGAGGTTGCAGCTCGGGACTGGAGTCTGCTCCCTGGCCGCAGGCTAAGGCCCAGTGTGTCCACGTCTGACCACAGGAGTCCTTGTGGGATTGCACACGCTCTCACAAGAGCTCAGAGGCCACTCCGTCGGTCTAGGTGGCAAAGTCACGTCTTGGGAGGATTCTGAACCATGAGTCACTGCCTGGCAGGAAGTCATCAAGCAGAGCTGCGGGGCTGACTTTGTGAGTGAGGAGGAGCTAGCGTTGTCTGAGTCACGGATTTTGAGGGTTTCTGGCCGTGCCATGTCTGAGCTCACCTTAACAATTTATTTTCACTTAGCAATGACCTGGTAGGATGTATTTCTGTATTTCATCGCCCAGCTACAGTGATGACTAACTTTTGGTCCACAATCCTAGATCCATGTCCAGGCCATAAAGACAGAGGGAGGAGGCAGGAAAGGTGGAGGAGGAGGAACAAAGTCATGAAGAAGGATAACGAAGCAAAACTCATCTGTCGCACAATTCATTGCTGTCTCATGACTTTAGAGGAATATCTCTGTACTTTGTCTTCTTGAACTGAGTCATGAAATATACCTCCCAGGCATGTGTATGTGTGTGTGTGTACCATCCTGACTCTATATTTTCCCCACCCCTACTGAGATTGATTGTAGGATATTCATATACTAGGCAAACCTGATACCACTGAGCCACATCCAAAGTCTCTTTAATTTTTTATTCTTTTTTCTTAATTTTGAAGATAGTAAATGACAACAGAACAATTCAGAAAAAAGCCAATTGAGACAGTGCAGTGAAATTGGTACAGAACTTGAGGGCAGGATGCGAGGATAACAGCAATAGATACCATAATATATCTCGTTATCTTTGCAACAGTTGTCCATTCCATCTGGTATAGCAGAGTCAAACCAAAAACAGAACACTATAAAACCTATCAAAACAGAATATTGAATAGAGCAAAACAACTAATCAGAATAAAGCAAAAACAGTGAAAATAGTATTTGCCTTCAAAGAGCAGGTAGAAGGAAACCCCCCAAATTTGCTATATTGCATGCTATCATCCTCCCAAGAGATGCTCAGACCTCTGGCCCCAGGTCAGCATAATCAACCCAACAATACAAGTAGTTGCTTTATGTGCCTTGGTTGCTATCAACTCCAGTTGCCCTCGGAACCATCCAATTGCTGAGAGCAGTGGGGGAGCACATTAGATTCTCAGCCTGCGTGGGGGTGGGCTCATGGGAGACACTGACTTAACTTCTTCCTGGCACACTTGCTGCTCACTAGTGCCACCACCACTTACCAGGACGGAGGGCTCTTTGCTTTCTTGGGAGACACAGATTTGTTCTCTTCCTATTGCGCCTGCTGCTCCTATTCTCATTTTTAAAATTTTAAATTGTGTGTGTGTGTGTGTGTGTGTGTGTGTGTGAGAGAGAGAGAGAGAGAGAGAGAGAGAGAGAGAGAGAGAGAGAGAAAGAGAATCTTACTATGTAGTCTAGGCTGATCTTGAATTCCCTGTGTCACCAAAATTGGAAATTGGCCTTTGAACCTGCAGAAACCCTCCTGCCTCAGCCTCCTAAGTGCTGGGATTACAGGTATGCACCACCATGCCTCATTTATTTTTTATTTTCAGACAAAATCTTGCCAAGTTTACCAGGCTCCTTCAAACTTGCAATTTTCCTACCTCAGGCTCCCGAGTAGTTGAGATTTCAGTCATATACTACCATTCCTGGCTTTGTGCTGTTTTCTTTCTTTCTTTATCTTTGTACTGCTTTAAGTAATGCACATATTTAAAGTATAAAATATAAGTATGATCGCAAGGACTTTAAAACTGAAAAGTAGAGTTTTTTTGTTTTGTTGGTACCAGGGATCAAACTTACAACCACACGCTTGCAAGGGAGGCACTTATTCCATTAAGCTAAATCCTCAGCCCAAAAAGCAGTTTTTGATTGATGACCTCTAAGAATGAGCTTTTTGAGTTGGTATATGTACAAGATCTTGGCGAGATATTAGAAGTTATAATGGAGTTAAACTAGGCATAGTACCTAATACTTGAATGAAGTCAACTATGAATGCTGACTTCTGTGGTTATCTGTAGAAAAATTAATATCCCAGCCAATTTTCCCCGATCCCAAGAGTATCTTCAGGCCGGTTCATGCTGCCATTAGTTCAGATGTGAAGTGAAATATAATTTGTTTTGGCACAGGGCCTCACTATGTAGTCCAGGCTCCCCTTACACTCACTGGGATCCTCTTCCCAAAGTGACGGGGTTACTGGGGTACATGAAAAACCACACCCAGTTTGAGAAATGATTCATTTTAAACCAAGGTGTGGTGGCAAATGCCTCTAATCCCAGAACTCTGGGAGGCTGAGACAAGAGGGTTGTAATTTCAAGCCCAGGGTGGGCAACTTGGTAATTTAATGAGAGCCTATCTCAAAATAAATAAGGACTGGAGCTGTTCCTCAGTGGGAAGACCCCAGGTTTAATCTGTAGTACCAAAAAAGGGGCAATGGGGACTGGGGATGCTGCTCAGTATGAAGGTCCTGGGGTCAATCCCTACTGTAAAAAAATTCATTTTAACCTAAATTTAATAAAATAAAAATGTTCCTAGTTTCCATGGTTCTCATAATATGTTCTACATCCAAATCTCTACTAACTATTCACATTGTTAATGAGATTAACCAGAGTTAATAATAGGTGCTCCTCCTGTTGAAGGAGAGTGCTTAGTCCAGAAGGAAAACACATGTAAAATCAGAAAGACATTAGGAATAGTAAAGTTGATATAACAATGTAATTACAACTCTTGGGAGGCTGAGGC